AACTTCAGGTCAAAATTCCCCCATCGGATTCCCAGCTCTGGGGCCCCTTCTCTTTGAAGATGTCTACCACTACATCTCTGTGGCTTTTACAGTAAGCCTTACTTCTTGCTTGCTGTCTCGGGGTCCTATCCTTCAACTCCTTACTGAATGGAGACAACAGACCCAGCACCCCAGACGGTAACGACCTCTGTGTCACCTGGTTATAGGAGTGAGTTAAAGTTGTCCACCTGGCAGACTTCTGCCTCTATGTTTTCTGCTAATCCAGACACCATGTCCTCTTGGGAGGGATCCTGAGTCCATCTCAACAGCTTTCCCTCCTGGCTGGAAGAGGGGTGTTAGGGTATGACAAGGGAGAAAATTATTTTTTTCCGGCTCAGAAACTGAATCCAGGAAGTGACTGAGGTAACTGGAAGTTAACAAGAGGAAGGGAGCCTTTGGAAGGGAGTGGATTTTTGACTGAGTTTTGAAACTTGGTCTCAGGCATGGGAGAACTTCAATTGGTTCCAAGCCACAAAGTGAGTTTACTTAAGTCGTGTTGGAGACAAAAAGGCTGATGTGAAGACCTAGAGAGAAACTGAAGGAAAAATGTGTATAAGAAAGGAAATGAGGAGACAGAGAAGTTGTATCACCCCAACCACCTGATGAGTATTCCAAGGTCTCACATTGCTGCCCACGGAACTCAATGTACATTTGAAAGACAGTAGGAATGTGACCAGACACATCCCCACCTAGTTAACAAGACATAAGTTACTGCAGTGTTTATCTTAAGACCTTTTGCGTAGATCTGAATGAACAAGGATGGGTTATGACTCAGACTGAAGGAAATGAATCACAAGATGGTGCATTTAGCTATCCGAGATTCAGCATCACATCTAACCAATCTGACACACTTTGAAGTTGAAAGATGAAGTTAGTGAACTCATTTCTATTATGAAGATCTTTATTATCCAACATAAAATATATTTCTCAATGCCACAACCGTGAATCCCATCTCAGAGTGAGATATACTCTCAAAATTCATAAGGTTTAGATGTTCTTCTTGGGCTGGGGATGTGGCTCAAGCGGTAACGCGCTCGTCTGGCATGCGTGCAGCCCAGGTTCGATCCTCAGCACCACATACCAACAAAGATGTTGTGTCCGCCGAGAACTAAAAAATAAATATTAAAATTCTCTCTCTCTCTCCTCTCTCACTTTCTCTTTAAAAAAAAAAAAAAAGATGTTCTTTATTTTCAAAAAAAAATCTGTATTGACTAAAAAACTTATTAAAATTTCAGGAAACACATAAATACAATGAGATAATCTATGCTCTCTCTCTCCCTGAGGGGCATATAAATACATACGTATTAAAAAGAAACTAAGTTAACAATTTTAAAAAGCAATCATGGCAACTGTGCAGCAGCCAACATCATAAGATACAACCTCAGGGTCTAGAAAATTCTTAATAATTTTATCCAATAAAATAGAAAGTATAAAATTTTCATCTTAGAGGGGAGATGGTCCTCTTGCATTCATTTAAACAGTGAGATTCATATGTGTGATAAGTAAACATCTCTTTTGAAAGCAGGGTGTGACTATTCTTTTAGTCCATTTTCTGTGGCTGTAATAGAATACCAGAGACTGGCGATTATAAAGGAGAGGAATTTATTTCTTTCAGTTCTGGAGTCTGGGAAGTGCCAGGCTGATGAGCTGCACCTGTAAGGGACTTCTTGCTAGTGGAGATTCTCTGCAGAATCCCTAGACAGCAAGGGCATCAGGCGGTGAGAGACACAAATGAGAGAAGACTCAAATTGGCCTTTAAGAAAGACCCACCTCAAAATAACCCAGGAGGACCTTGGTCTCAGACACAATGGGAGTTTAGCTGCAATATGAGTTTTGATAAGAGCATTAAACCCCTAATAACCATGAAGACAATGAGAACACATTTTCTCATTCTACTATTACATCCTTTTGTTTTGTTTGGTTCTCTTCATCTGTTTGTCCACATGACAAGCAAGTAAAACAAAAGCCAGTCAAATTTCTGAGTTCCTCTGGGATCCATTTAAAGTGAGATATTACCTACTAATCTTGGTAGCTGGTCAAGCAGTGTTACCGCTGTTGACCGGTGACAAGTCCTTGCTTCCCCAATATTGAAGAATGACACCAGAGAGAAGCACGCCGAGGCAAGGTCAGAGTGGAAAGTAGAGGTTTATTAAAGGAGAGCAGAAAAGACTTCTCCTGGAGGAAGAAGGGGACCCAAGAGGTGGAATCCATTGAAGGGCGAATGTGTTCCCCTTTTTATAGTTCCTTCTGTGATGGAATGTAGGTGGGAAGGCCCGAAGGGTGGGACACAGGTGGGCCAAAGAAGTCATCTGGTGAGGAAGGACTTCTGAGTCAGCATCTTCAAGTTTGCTGGGAGCTGTTCATTAACACTTCTTTGGGATGGGCTCTGGGCCTTGGGCTTTTCCCAGACTTCATTAACATTCCAGGAGTTGTTCAGCTTTTCCCGGAATTCATTATCAACATGACCTCCATTTTGGATCTTACTCGATATTAGACCCGATTTACCTAACTACACTGACTACCTAACTTTAAATCTGGCTTCAGCAGTTTGTGGGACAACTTGTTTAGCCATCTCTGTTCATTTCCTTCTTGTCACCATCAGAGTGTGTTCAGTCTCTTCTTTTCTACTGGGTTTAACTTGGTTTTCATCCCACGTTTGTCCAGCCGTGTGCACAAGGCCATAGCTGGGTTGCCTGGATAAGACTGACAAACTGGTTCCTGGAGCCAGGCACACCTGCTGAGAATCTCAGCTGCCAGCCAGAATCAGGCCCATAGGAATGTCCCCCCCAAGGCTAGTGTAGACCTTAGTCTGCAAAATTTCCTGTTGAGATTTTCCAGAGTGGAGTGACTAAGAGTCCATGTGGAAGTGCTCAACTCCATGACATGGAAGCAACCCCCAGGAAGAAGAAGTATTGAATAAATGTGGCCACTTTTAGTAGCTGGTGCTTACAGAGCATTTGTTATGTGCCAGACATTACTCTGAGTGCTCTGCATATATTGACTCATTTAATCTTCATTACAACCTCATAATGAAAGTATTGTTATTATCCTCTCATCAGGGAGGATGACATTAAGACATAGATTAAGTAGATTGCCAATATCACACAACTAGTAAGTGGCACGGCCAATATTAAAGTCCAGCTCAGAGTCTGTGCTCTTAGCCATGTGGAATACTGCCATTTATACATTACAAAAGAAAGTCTTATTTATTTATTTTGGCCACTGAAATTTAATCCAGGGATGCTTTACTAGTGAGCTACACTTTTGTTTTTTTTATTTTAAGATTCAGTCTCACTAAGTTGCTTGGGGCCATGCTAAATTGCTGAGGCTGCCTTTGAACTTGTGATCCTCCTGCCTCAGCCTCCTGAGTCACTGCGTTTATAAGTATACACTACTTTGCCCAGCAGAAAGTTTTGCTTATTGATGTAGTGTATTTCTAGAAACAGGGCCAGAAAGCTTTGTGGTTAATAGTACTGCATTATTGTATAATCTCTCCATTGTGGGAATTTACTCCAGGTGGTGATCTTAATTGAAAAGGAACAATACAGACTGAAATTCAAGCCAGAAGAAACAGAAAAATCAACTATTTGAGTAGATGAATCTACAGCTACAGCCGCAGAATGCAACCCAATGGGCAATATTAGCCATATCAGCTGGAGAAATTCAGGGCAGCAAGATTGGAGACTGCCCGTCACAGACTGGAAGACGTACTAAGGTTTCTTCTCTGGATTGCTATAGCAACAGTTATCTACACCAGATAATTTAGCAATCAGTATAAAATGTCTTACATCTGTTCCAAATATTTCCTCATCTCTCCCTCATGAGATGGTAACTTATCTAAAGCTTGAATCTGTTTTTTTCCTTGAGTATGTCTCACTATATCCATCATTGGAATCAAAGCAGAACACGTTTGTTGTATTTGAATTGAATTTTCCATAATATGTTTTATGTGAAAATTAAAGCACACAATCACAAAACACTATATGTTCATAATAGCAATTTAAGAAATAAAGAACACATACCAGAAAAATTACCTGTCATTTAATCACCTTGCTTGTACTTTGATTTATGTAAGTTGTCCTTTCTCCCTTTCAGTACCTCTCTGGGTTGTCATGGGATTAGTAGATGACTTGATAATGCAAAGTATGTGGGAGAGACCCTAGTATAAAGTGTTTAATAAACAGAAGCTACTATTAAAATAATAATTACTATTTTCTTTTTAAAATTTTTTTAAATGTTTTTTTTAACTTGTTTATAGACCTTTATTTATTTATATGTGGTGCTGAGAATCGAACCCAGTGCCTCACACATGCCAGGCAAGTGTGCTACCACTGAGCCCCAGCCCCAGCCCACTATTTTCATTTTATGTGTGGGTTTTCTTTTTTTTTTTTTTTTTGTACCAAGGATTGAACCCAGTTGGGTTTAACCACCAAGCCATATCCCCAGCAACCACCCCCCCGACCTTTTTTTTTTTTTTTTTTTTTAGAAACAGGGTCTCACTAAGTTGTTTAGGGCCTCACCAAGTTGCCAAGGCTGGTTTTGAACTCCTAATCCTTTTGCCTCAAACTCCCAAACCATTAAGATTATAGGAGTGCCCCATTACGCCCCGCTCATTTTGTGTATTTTTAAAGGGAAGCTTTTTAGAAGTAAAATTACTCCTTAAAGAGTATGCATATTTTAAATTTTACCAGTAACTACCAAATTTCCTCCAAAAAAACTTCAAAATTATTTATATTCCTACACATTAAAAGAAATTTTTCCCCACTCCCAGATACTTTCAACCCTTCAATTTTCACGAGTCTGGATGAAGCGGGATAATTCAGTTTATTTTGCATTTTTTATTTGTGAGCTAAGCATTTTTATGCTAAGCATATTTATGAGAATTATTGGACACTCAATTCAACAAATCCTCTGTTCATATCCTCTCCTCTTTTTTTTATTGGGTTATTTTTTCTTTCCTCATTGGTTCATAATATCCCTTTATATTTCCTATATTAATTTTTCCTCCAGTTGCAAATATTTTCTCACAGTCTTTTAATTTTGATTACGGAACTTGTTATGGCTCTAACGTTTTAAAATTTTAAGTGGTCATATCTGTCTGCCTTTCCCTTTATCGGTCCTGGATTTGGAGACTTTGCCAAGGAAGGATTTCCCCATTTCAATATTTATCAAAGCACTTCCCTATTTTATGATTTTTGCAGAGAGTTATTTTAATACCTCTGTAGCTTATATGTATGCATGGTATAAGACTAAGCTATGGGTTTAACCACCAAGCCATATCCCCAGCCCCCCCACCTTTTATTTTTAGAAACAGGGTCTCACTAAGTTGTTTAGGGCCTCACCAAGTTGCCAAGGCTGGTTTTGAACTCCTAATCCTTTTGCCTCAGCCTCTCAAGCCACTAAGATTATAAGATTCATTTTGTGGCTATCCACTTGTACCTATACAATATGGTTAAATGTTAGACTTCTTCCTAATGTTAACATATGTTATGTTTTATTGTGATTCCAGAAATAATATCAGTAACCCAAATCTGTGTAACATTCTACAAGCGCATCATCTGACATAGAGCCTCTTCGTTAGTCCTGTGATTGGATAGTTTTTGTCTCAGTTTAAGTGATGAAGAAATTGAGGACCCAGGAGTTTAAGCACCTTGGTCATTTGAACTTGTCGTGTTGCTCTCTTCACTCTTCTCTTGAACACTTTCTGCCAGCAGCCATTGTTGCCTGAGGTCCAAAGTCGGACCAGAAAAGGAGAGAAGAATCAGTACAATACAAATGATCCAGTACTGAATATACTCATGTGTACCTCAATATTTGATCAACCATCATCTGGAGTTGTTAGCAAGATGTACAAGACTCCTCCTTTTGAAGACTGAAAACACATCAGGGCTCAGAACCTCCCCTTCCTGATCAGCATTCCCTGACACCCCTTGAGAAATGTAATCCCACTGGGTATGGAAAATACAAAGGGTGATAATGACCCCAAGGATTCACTACTTGTTTTCACACTGAAGGCTCACATCTTTAAAGCTTTACAGCATGTAGGTAAATCACGAAGTGACAAATTGGCATTTTATGTGGAAGGCCGGATGGTAAATAATTTAGGCTTGGTGGGCCTCTGTCACCATGAATCAACAATGCCCTGGTAACACAAAAGCCACCACAGACTGTCGGTAAAAGAATAGGCTTGTCTGTAGTGTTCCAGGAAAACATTATTTACAGCTGGGGTGTAGCTCAGTGGCTGCTTGCCCTGAATAAGGCCTGGGTTTGATACTTTGTGCCTCTTTCGCAAACGCTCTCTCTCTCTCTCTCTCTCTCTCTCTCTCTCTCTCTCTCTCTCTCTCTCTCTCTTCTCACACACACACACAAATACATACACACAAAAAAAGGATTAAAACTTTATTTGCTATGCTCATGTTTTCTGACCTTGATCTACATCACTGTCCTCTGTCCTCTTCATGAATGCAGGTAATAATGAGGAAGCAAAAAAATAAAAAAATAAAACAAGAAGTCTGAAGGTATAAGAGGAAGCCACAGATGTCAATTTCTTAGAGAATAACATGACAAACATGGGTTTTTTTTATATTTATAGCTTATATTGCTAAATTAGATGATTAGATGGGCCTGACATATAGCTAGGCTCACTAATAGATGGAAGGTATGGGGAGTCAGGGATGACCCCACTCTCCAGCACGAGCAAGTGGGATGCCCTTTATTGAGATGAGAAGACAAGATGGGAATTCATTTAGAGGTGATGGGTAGAATGAACAGTTCTGTACTGAAACACTGCTTTTTAAAGTCTCTAAAATGCAAAATGAGAACTTCAGGTAGGCTTAGAGATGAGGTTAAGGCTGAAATGATCCAAGAGGGAGGCAACAGCTCAAAGATACTATTTAAAGTCGTGGAAATGGATGACGTTAACCAGAGCACAGAGAAAGAGAAAGCAGGACAAATAAGGACCTCGATGCCCTTTCTGAACCATTTAAGACGGAAAGCACGTGCAGAGTGCCAAGAAAACGTCATGGTGCGCTTGACGTTGGTAAAGCTGTGATTTGTGTGAAGGAGTGCACAAGGCAGGGTCTCCAGGGAAACAGGGCAGACAGAACGTATAGATAATCAGCAGTGGACATTTGCTGGACTAGATGATGTGATCACAGGCCGGACAGTCAGTCCCACATGGCCATCTGCAAGCTGGAGAGCCATGGAGACCAGTAGCGGCTCAGTCCAAGAAGCTGGAGTCCTGGAACCCAAGAGACCCATTTTGCAGCCCCAGTTTGAGCCTAATGGCCTGGAAGCCCTATGGAAAGCTGCTGGGCCGAGTCCAGTTCAAAGGCTGAAGAAGCTGAAGTCTAATATTCTCACTAACTCAGAAAGAATCAGGACCTGGGGTGGAGCTTAGTGGTAGAGCTCTTGCCTAGCACGCGAGGCCCTGAGTTTGTTTCCCAGCAACAACAACAACAAAAAGCTTTTGATTTTGTATGTGACATTAAGTTTCGTCCTTCCTTGACTTGTGTTCACCTGCCCCCACCTTCACATTCAGGGCGCTTTCGCCCCTCAGACTGCTGTCCACTGCTCACATGCCAATCATCTCTGGGAGCACCCTCCCAGAGACACCTACAAGTGAGCTTTAACAATCTTCCAGTCAGGTTGACCACCACTCTTAACCATCACAGGTAATAACCTATATTCCTCTTCTCAAATAAGTTTTTTTTTTTTTATTTTATTGAGCCTTACAGTAAATACCTCGGGTATGTTTACCTAAACACAATCTGGGAAATGCTGTAAAAATAATGATTTGTATATTAAATTTAATTTTTTATAATCAATTTTCTTTTTAAAAATATTTTTAGTTGTAGATGGACACAATACCTTTCTTTCTTTCTTTCTTTCTTTCTTTCTTTCTTTCTTTCTTTCTTTTTATATGGTGCTGAGGATTGAACCCAGTGCCTCACACATGCCAGACGAGGGTGCTACCACGGAGCCACAACCCCAGCAATAATGACTTTTCTTAGACTCATTGGCTTTGGTTGTCCAATAAAAGAGTTACTGTCCATCTTCCTGGCATGAACGGAAGCAGCAGGTTTCAAACAACCTTTGCATCTCCCTTTTACCTGCCTGATAACCTCAGCGTGATTCCTTCGATATGTCACCTGTCCAGGGACACAGGAACACTCTCTACAGTTCAATCATGTGGACAGAACAAGGGCGAAGAGAGTGGAGACCTTCTTGTCATCTGTGGAAACATTTTCATCCTAAACTTACACAAAACCACTCTATGGCCCAGAAGGCCATGAAGAAAGGAAAAAGGAACCGCAGGTGAGAGAAGATTGAGAGCACTCAAGAAGGTCGGTTTAGCACAGGGTCATTCTAGGTTCTGGGTGGTGGGGAGAGGAGAGGTCATTCAACTGCCCGCAGGGCTGAGGACCTCCTATCAAACTAACCTTCCCGTCATTCACACTATAACCCCTGGACAAGGTTTAAACAGGAACCCACTGACACTGGACAGCAAACAGAAGCAGCCAGACATGAAGTGGAGTTGGCAATTGTTAGAGAACAGAGTGAAATTTTCACTGAGTAAAATTCCAGATAATGTAACTTTCAGGTAAAAGGTAGTCTCTGGATAAAAGACTAAAATGTGGACCAAAATCTGAACTGCCCTGTCTCCCTGCATGTGAGACAAAAATTTTCTATTTGAATTCAGCCACATTGATAACCTGTTTTCTTTTAAAAACATTTTTCAGTTGTTAATGGACCTTTATTTTATTTTTATTTATTTATATGCAGTACTGAGAATCGAACCCAGTGCCTCACACATGCTCAGCAAGTGCTCTGCCACGGAGCCACCACCCCAGACCATGACAACCTGTTTTCTTTTAAAAATAAAAATCGATAGTCTCTGAAAGACCAAAATAGAATCAGGAGATTCTACAACATATCATTCACAATGCCTGGGATATAATACAAAATTACTGAACATTAAGATAGACAGGAAAAGATGACCCATTCTTAAGAGAAAAAAACAATGTAGACCAATCCTGACAACAACCCAGTTGTTGAAGTTGTCAGAGTAGGATTTAAAGAAGGTATGATAATTATACTCAAATATGTGAGGAAATATCTTCTTATATTATGTGAAATCTTACCAGAGAAAAATAGGAACTATAAAAAATAAAGTAAATGTAAACTCTACAACCAGAAAATGCTGTATCTGAAATATACACTTTTTCAATGCTGAGAATTGAAGCCAGTCCCTCTGCATGCTAAGGCATGCTGTACCACTGAGCTAAATTGCCAGCCTTCTGTATCTGAAGTAAAAATGTTTCTAAGTAAGCTTAGCATCAGAGTGGAGATGATACAAAAGATCAACCAACTTGAAAATAGATCAATGGAAATTATTCAATCTGAAGAAAGGTAGAAAAGAAGATTGGAAAAAAATATACAGCCCCGGAGACCTGTGGGACAATATAAAACGTCTACCAAATTATACCTGGAGTCCAAGAATGAGAGGAAAAAGTGTGGGGTAGAAAAAAAATTGAAGGAATAATGGCTGAAATGCTTCTAAATTTGGTGAATGACATAAATTTGTAGTGAACAGCAAGTAGAATGAATACAGTAAGAGCTATAGCTAGGTACATCATAGTCAATGGGGTGGAAACCAAAGAGAAAGGTAAAATCTTAAGAGCAAAGAAAAGGAACAATTGCACACAAAGGCACAAGAATCAAAAGATCACTGACTTTTCAGTAACCAGAAAGGCCAGAGGATAGTGTGTGTTTAAAGTGTTGAAATAATTTTTTAAAGTCAATGCAAAATTTTTACCTCCAGCAAAAATAACCTTCAAAACTCAAGGTTAAATAAAGATATTTTCAGATAAAACTGAAAGATTTTATCTTCTGCTGACCTATGCTACAAAAATGTTAAAAGAAATCCTTTGGGTTGAAGAAAAACGAAAACTAAATCTTCAGAATAGGTAAAGAATATATAAGAGTATAAGATTATTTTTTCCTCTTAATTTTAAATAACATATATGATGACTATTTAAAGAATCACATTGAGGGGCTGGGATTGTGGCTCAGCGGTAGAATGCTCGCCTCGTAGGACCCAGGTTCGATCCTCAGCACCACATAAAAATAAAGGCATTGTGTTGTGTCCATCTACACCTAACATATAATAAATACTTAAATAAAATAAAATAAAGTTATAAAAAAAAGAATCACATTGATTCCAATATTTGAGGGTAGACTGGAATTTTCATTTGTCATCTAAATGTTATCAGGCTTGGATCTTAAAAGGTCATCAAATTTTTCCTGGCATGAAACTAATAGTTGAATGTAATGTGATTATTACTCTCCAAAGTTAAATATAAATTTTTCTATCAGAGTTTACTTGTCATTCATTCTATCTTTATTTTTTCCCCTTTGTAGAAAAATGTGTCTAGAGTTGATAAGCCTGTTTAGCAGGCTTCTAGCCTAATAGGATTATTCTCAGTGTATCTTTTCAGAGAGAGATTTTCCTAATGGGCATTCCATTTTGAGAGATTTCTGAATTGCTAATCAATGAAGTAGTAAATAATAAGCATACACTGCATAGTTTCAGGAAATGTAGTTTGTTTATTAACTTTGCCAAAATTTAAGTTAAAATAAAGACCAGCACATGTTCAGATAATGGTAAAATTCTTAGGGGAAAACAACAGCATTGACGACCCTCCCAAAGTTTTAATGTAAAT